ACTTTTTCTTCAATTTTAAGGAAGCGAGATCCACGATTCGATAGTCGAGCAGGCGAGTTCAAGGAGAGATGTTTTGAGGACAATTACAGTTTCTTGGATGACCTAAGGAAACAGGAGAGGGAGGTGAGTTGCTGGATGCACTTGCTTATTTGAGGCAGTTTTCCAAAATAAACTCAGTTTTGTCAACTACTATAGATCAATTTGGCTCCACACTAAAGCGTCACATTGGGCTCTAATTTATTGGAAAGGGTAACTGGAGTTTCAAACGTTGACTCTGCCTACCCAGTGCATACCTCGCTTACCGTGACCGCTTGTAACCTCCTCCTTCAGGTTTCAGGTCCGCTTTTTGCCGGTCTTCAAGCAGTTTTTGAATCATGTGCGAACTAAGGACCTTGAGCTCCACATATCTTGGTGTATGTCGTGCCTATCATGTGCTAATGGCTTCTTCGCTTCAGCTTCATTTTAGCATCGCTCACCTCCAGCTCTAGACCTCCCCCTCGATTGTTTTAGTTCCTTTTGAACCTCTAATCATAGGAGGTCCTAAATCAATGAATACCATCCAGTTGAGCGCGCGTTCCGCCTACTGTGGACGAAGCTTCGCTCACCTTAGCACACTGTAGACATTAATCTCTCTACCAATTCTTTTACGTGTCTTGGTTGCAGCAACCAAGCTATAAAATTTCGTAGCGTGTAACGCCTCTTTAGCGAACGGCCACATAGTGCAGATGGGTCTCCTTCACCTCATCCACCAGTCGCTGCTCACCTTATCCAATTCACCCCATCTCTGAGCGGTTATGGAACCGGAATAGTTTTCCTCTTCAGCAACACCCATTTCGTTGCGTGACGCTCACTGACAGCGGAGCTCCGTTTAGCTCATTTGTGCTCCCCACTGTTTCACGGTGTACCCATCCCACACCTGACTTGGTCCCTTCAGGTAATTCTCCGTGCAGAATTTAGGGGATTAGGGGATCAGAATATACATGGGCCTATGCACAAAAGTGCTGAA